TTACGGTATATTATTTGCCGAAATCAAAGTTGATGTTGTTGATGATTAACCTCCGAGACGAAACAGCTGTTTTGGTTGCTTACATGAGAAAAAAGTGATCATACTAGCGTCTATTTCTAAACATTAATTTTGTTTGGATAGTAGCATTAAGCAAAAAAGCATTGCCTTTTATAGTTGTTTCATTAAAAAAGAATAGCCGGTTTAAAAATGCTTCAAACCATAATGAAACCCCTCTTAAATCATATGCGTTTAATATTTTGGTTTTATCTCCGCTCTTTGGGCTCATTTTGTAAAGCTCTGTTTTGAAAAAAGGGTGGAAAGTGGCAGACTGGAGAGCTAAACTGAATGTGGTTAATTTGTTTGAGTAATTACCTTTAATAATTATGTTTTGTTTGATTGGTGTTGTAGATGTCCATTAAAAATGACCAGGCCCAGCTTACAAACTCAGCAGGCAAACTGCCTCGCCTTCCACCCATCACAGCACCGACATCACCAAGCTCAAAGTTTGAGAAAAGTTACCTTAGAACTTACAGGAGAAGTGAACACATGCAAGGACTTTTGACCAGTAAACTGTAAGTGGTACTGTACTTGAAAGTATTGTAGCTAATGGCCTGTAGAGGGTTATGTACTTTAGTTTTCAATGGAAGGGCTCCCTACAAAAAACTTCCTCTCCAAAGGGGAAATGACGGGCCACAGGTGGACCTTGTTTATAGAGTCCTCCAATTGTAAACATAGAACTGTTTCCAAAAGTTTTAATTAAGTTTCTTGTGCCATAATGGTAGTGGTATGAATTGACTGGGATTAAAAAAAGACTCATGAGAAGAATTCCATATAAGATGGCCACAGTGTGCTCTTTGGCCATCCCTGGAACACATCAAAAACATACCAAATGTATCAGAAAAGGGACATCATTGGACTCAACTCTGCTTGCCACATACTGTGCAAAATTCTAGGCCTATTCACAGACTGTCTATTTTCTCTTTAGTGATTGTTGAGCCCACATACACACACATGTATGGTCAGAAATAAAATCTGCAGGAGTTTTATTACTTGCAAGTGCAAAGAGGTGGGGGTGGGGAAAAGAGAAAAATGATAGATGGTCTGTGGACATCTTTGAAAGTAACTGAAACTTGCATTTCCCAGGAAAAGCAAATGAAGCTTATTGTTGGATGCTTTCATAGTTTGTCTTCATAGCAATTGCAAAGTCACATAATTTTTGTAACCTCAGTCTACTTAAAAATATGAAAACAGTTCATAAATCTTTCCATCTTCGCCTTTTTGCCATCTTTTCTTCAAATGATGTGAAACAGCTCTAGCCCGTAGTTTGAGGAGGCCTAACCTCTCATAAGCTCCTATAGTTTCTGTTAGGTCTCCTCACCACTTCTTTTTTTCTTCTTTTCCTATATTTTTTGTAATTATTGTGGGGCAAATATTTCTTTATAATAGGTATGAAAAAGCAGTTCATGCTCAAGAAGAAACAGAAGAAAGTTTGAAGAGAAGACCAATGTCGGCTGGTGAACCTGAAATGCCATCACAGGTACTCAAAAAATTCTATTCACTTGACTGTTGTTCATGGAAATAATTGAAGGGCTCTATACAAGAAATGAAATTGCTGCAACATTACAACATTATGCACTTTGGATTACCTTTAACCCATTCGCTCCTGGAGATTTTGCCGAAAAACGCGTTTTGAAGCTAGTCGAGTGGTTTTCTGGTCACTGTCGTGCTATAAAGAGCTAAAACTTACCACAAACCGGTTTACAGGTCGTACACTTTGCGGCCTTCTGATCCAGATGCAAAATATTGGTTTGCGAAGTTCGGGCATGCGCAGAAAGCAAAATTTCGACATAGTTTTTGGGTTTAAAAGTGACACAGCAGTCTTGACTTTTACTTTTCGCTTTCTCTCCTCCCTTCTTTTTTCGCTTTTCTTGCCTCATTTTTTTTTTTCTCTTGCTGGGCATTTAGTAGGCTTCAATTTGGTGTGAAGAGTTTTTAGGAAAGCTTTTAGGATCTTAGGATTAGGTGAAAGGAAAGGTAGGTGGGTAATGGAACAAGATTTTCATGGAGATTTTCAGGTCAATGTCACGTGGTTTTTTGCTTCTTTCTCCGGTGTCCTTGACTGAATTGTGCTCATTCTGGTATGGTTTGAAAGATCTCTTCACTCTGCACAAGTCAGTGAAGAAAGTTGTCCTTGACCGTTAAAACTGATGACGTCACAAAGGGTAGAAAGGACCTGGATCGGCATGGGCGGTTACGGGCGGTTCAGGGGCGAATGGGTTAATAGAGAAAGAATTTCCGCCTTGGGGTGTGTATCATATGTCCTGAAATGAGAAATCAGACTTGATTTGATCCATGGGAGTAGATTACATTTGAATTTGTAACTTTAATATATCGCGGAATACAAGAACCTGTTTAGCCAAGCAAGATCAAGCAGGTTTTATCCGTGGATTTGCATTAAATTATTATAAACATTAATTTTTACCAACGAGTTTGACTTTGAAATTGCAAATTTATACCAAAAAATACTGTAACAAACTGTAATTTCTACAACAGAAACAAGTTTATTTATAAAAAACTGAATAAATTTTCTTTATGGGCCTTGCTTGCATAAAGCATGTTTGCAATGTACAGTTGTGAATACTTATTTTAGGGACCAAACCCAAGTTTCTTTATACTTTAATTCTTTTTCTCGTATCTCCTTCATAGAAATTAAGAACCTGCATTTAATTAAGAACCTACTTATCCTGAAACAACTGATAAGTACCCCAGAATACAAGAACCTATTTTGCCGGACTTAAAAAAAGTAGGTTCTTACACAGGGTAGTTTACTATACATGTATTTTAAAACAAGACTACAGTAGCTCCAAAATGCATTTAATCTTATAATAATATTAGTACTATAACAACTACAAGTGCTATAAATTTCACTTTTATTTGTACATCTTCTAAAATGTTTGTGAAATTACATGTACAGGTAAAATCATTTTAGCATTTCCTGAGGTGAGAATCATTCTTTCGGAAATCAGAAAAGGGTCTTAAACTGTAACGACTGTTCATTTTGCAACATCCATGGATGATAGAAAAAAGTCAGTTTTAATTTCAGTTTGTACAAATGCACAACATGAATGTACAGGTCAAAATTAAATTCAGGTGAAAATTTTTTTAACCTACACTGTATAAAGGCAAATTATCAGTTTGCTTATTTTATTCACTTATTATTGAGACAGAGGATACACCCTAAATTCACAACTGGATGACGTCGACTGCGGACACCCAAGAGATCTATAGAATTATTTGCAACTCGAGTTTCTGCTTCACTGTGTGATCAATGCCTGAGCCACATGCTGCGCGTTCAAGAAATTTTTAAACCTTGCTTCACTCGGAATTATGTTTTAATCTAATCAAAGAGTAAGGAATTTCTGTGCGCATTATTTAATTTTCTAGTTCTTTTACCAATAAAATCTGTTAAACATACATTCCTGCAAATATAGTGGAAATTGAGGGCCACTTAATTGTGAGCTGTGCAACCAAGAAATCAGGTTAACTGGCCCAGCTGGCCACCAAGCGCTAAAGTAAATTTTCAGCCCTGCATGGTACAATGTAATTGATTCATTTGGTGTGATATTCCTGATTAAATAAGGTCATAGCTTGGGTTAAGCTTCACTTCAAAGCTGCACGTACATGTATTCTACAACACTGTGCAAGGGGGGTGCAGAGGGGGACTACCATCAGCCATTGACCACGATAGTTTGAAGAAAGGGATATGTAACTTGATAATACTGAAATGGATAACTAGAAATGATTAACCTTGCAATACATTGGTGAGGTATATTGCGTAGCATTATGCAAGCACAAAGGCTGAGTAAATTACACTCATGATATATAGTTGTGCATGTACTACAAGAAAATTTAGGTGCCAATTTGTAAGCTCAGTGGAGAATGAATGGAGCCCTTCAATTTTGAATCAACGATATCAGTTTAAGAAATATTTAACTTGTCAATCTAATTTTGACCTATGACTTTCGATGTATTTTTATTTTCTATTACAGATGATGAGTACTGAGAGAAGAATAAGAGTAAGTTCATTTTATTTGCTTTTTTCTAATGTATGATTTTTTTTATTTGCAATTTAACCCTTTTCAGATGGCTAGGGTCATATATACGACCCATATGGAATGATAGTGTACATTCCTCCCTGGACCCATTTAGCTTTCAGTTTAAGTTAATAAATTGATAAGCAACATTGCCAGCAAAGATAGATCTTTCCAGCAATACCTCGCTTTGGATATTCTGACCAGTCCTGACAGAGTTACACTCACCAAAAAAAGGTAACTGTTACGAAAAATTGTATTGCGTGACTAGCGTGACTTTCTAGAAGCTTCGCGAGAGTTCATAATTTGTTTATTTTAGGATCTTGTGTAAGCGTTTCTAAAGTGGTATATTTTGTAATCTCTCTATAATTAGACTATTTGGAATGTTCTAGAACTTTATTGTAAAAGTATATAAGTAGGCGAGTCCGAGTTAAGTTTAAACTAGTTTTCACAAGTGAAGAGAGTTTGACCTTAGTCGTGTTTAGTCAAGTGTGACGAAAGTAGCGTTTATTCAAGTTGGCGGAGGCCGTGTAAGTTTATCAAGTTATTTCAAGTTGGCGGAGGCCGTGTAAGTTTATCAAGTTAATTCAAGTTGGCGGAGGCCGTGTAAGTTTATCGAGTCATGTGCTGTTGTGGAGTTTTACTTTGTGGAAACTACGTTCATTTTTGGAATAAATCTTCTTGTTGCTGTTCCGACAACCCTGCGTTTAGTTTGGTTTGCAAGCTACCCGTCCTCTAAAAGATTACCCGTGTAACATCAGGGGCCTGTCCGGGACAGGAATTCAATTGTTTGCCGACTACAGTAACCAGAAAAAGGACAGTTCAAGAAGAAGGAGTTACAGCGAAAGTAAGAGGAACTGCTACGAGGAAGTATATCAAGTGTGTTTGCTGTGAACTACTGCTGTGGGAATGGAAAAGCTTTTGCAGATAGGCAAAGAATTCGGATTGGAGGGAGAAAAGCTGCTTGAGTTTGTAGAAAAACAACAAAAGTTAGAAGATGAAAAAAGAAGAAAAACGTCGAAAACTTGAGGAAGAAAGAAGGAGAGAGGAGGAAGAGAAGGAAGAAAAACGTAGACAGTTAGAAGATGAAAAGGAAGAGAGACGTCGAATACTTGAGGAAGACAGAAGAAAGGAAGAAGAAGAGAAGGAGGAAAGGCGTAGAAGAGAAGACGAAGAAAAAGAAGCTAGGCGGCAAGAACCCGATCTGAGAAAATTGGAGCTGGAAGCGGAACTGTTANAATTCAATTGTTTGCCGACTACAGTAACCAGAAAAAGGACAGTTCAAGAAGAAGGAGTTACAGCGAAAGTAAGAGGAACTGCTACGAGGAAGTATATCAAGTGTGTTTGCTGTGAACTACTGCTGTGGGAATGGAAAAGCTTTTGCAGATAGGCAAAGAATTCGGATTGGAGGGAGAAAAGCTGCTTGAGTTTGTAGAAAAACAACAAAAGTTAGAAGATGAAAAAAGAAGAAAAACGTCGAAAACTTGAGGAAGAAAGAAGGAGAGAGGAGGAAGAGAAGGAAGAAAAACGTAGACAGTTAGAAGATGAAAAGGAAGAGAGACGTCGAATACTTGAGGAAGACAGAAGAAAGGAAGAAGAAGAGAAGGAGGAAAGGCGTAGAAGAGAAGACGAAGAAAAAGAAGCTAGGCGGCAAGAACCCGATCTGAGAAAATTGGAGCTGGAAGCGGAACTGTTAAAGCAAAAAGAAGCTATTGAAGCTGCTAAGAGAGAGCACAAACTAGAGCTTGCTCGTCTAGGACAAGGCTGTAACGATACCGAACGTGCTGAAGTGAGAGAGGATAGGGCCAAGGTACCCAAGCTTCCCTCATTTGTTGATGACAAGGATGACTTGGATGCTTACCTACAACAATTTGAGAGGTTCGCAACTACAGCTAAATGGGAGAAGACAGGATGGGCTTCGAAACTTAGTGCTCTTTTGTCTGGGCATGCTCTAGAGGTTTATTCACGATTATCTGAGGAGGTAGCCCAAGATTATGATCGAGTAAAGTTAGCTTTGATGAAGAGATATGACCTTACAGAGGACGGATATCGTCGTAAATTTAGAGCATCAAAGCCGGAAGTTGACGAGAGTCCTGAACAGTTTATAGTGTGACTGGATAGATACTTGTTGCGTTGGTTAGAGCTGTCGAACACTGAGAATTCTTTTGAAGGCCTGAAAGATTTAATTGTAAAAGAACAATTTATTGACGCATGTCCAAAAGAGTTAGCTATTCACCTTCGTGAAAGAGCCCCGGAAACGCTTGTTCAGATAGCAAAGATTGCCGATCAGTACTTGGAAGCACACGGAAAGCATCTGTTTAGCTCTGCGAGCAAGAAGCTACAAGTACAGCCCAAGGTGGATGAATCAAAGAATCAGCAGAGTGATTCAACGACAGTAGTGTGTTTCAAGTGTAACGCTCGTGGCCACAGGGCTGTTAACTGCCCATCTCTGGTTAAGAAATGTTTCCTATGTGGCAAGCAAGGTCATGAAGCGAGGAACTGTCGATCAGGTAAACAGAAGTCAGGAGGACAAAGTAGGGATGGTCTCCATGTTCAGCGTGGGCAAGTGAGTGCTGGTTGTTTAGTTCAGCCACCCGAGGTTAAACCCTCAGAAGAAGAAGTTAGAGCCTGCATTAAGGATGATAAACTGTTGTTAGCCAGTGGTAAGAAGATCCTAATAGTAAGCAATGCCTGTCTTGAACCTCTGTCTGGCGACCGGTTGAAAATGCCTGTTGTTAAAGGAAGAGTGGGAGAGAAGACTGTGGATGTCTTGAGAGACACTGGTTGTAGTGGAATAGTAGTTAAGAAGAGTCTTGTGTCTGAGGACCAGTTTACTGGTGATTTTAACGTTATGCTGCTTATTGACAACACCGCGAGGAAGGTACCTATTGCAAAAATTACTGTGGATACACCTTATCTCAAGGGGCAAGTGGAAGCGCAGTGTCTCCCAGATGCCATTTACGACCTGATAATAGGTAACGTTCCTGGAGCTCGACCTGCAGATGAGCCAGACCCAACTTGGCAAGAAGCATGCGCTGTAGCCACGAGAAGTCAAGCTAAGAAAGACAGTGAAGTTACCCCTTTAAAGGTACCAAGCTACCAAGAGAGCCCCATTGTAGATAAACAGAAACTTAAACAGATGCAGAGTGAAGATGAGAGTTTACAGAAGTACTGGGACCAAGGTGATGTACTAGTGAAGGGTCAAGCTGAGATTTCCTTTGAGGTAAAGAGTGGGGTATTGTACCGCATCTACAAACACCCTTTTGTGAATGGTGGGAAGCCTGTGAAGCAAGTGATGGTTCCTGTGCAGTTAAGACCCCGAATAATGGAAGTGGCTCATGGATCTATAATGGGAGGTCATTTAGGTATTAAGAAGATGACTGACAAGATTCAGAGTGCATTTTATTGGGCAGGTATTCTAGGTGATGTAACCCGTTTCTGCAAATCATGTGACGTCTGTCAGAAGACCGTAAACAAGGGATCCGTTCCAAAGGTGCCACTACAGAAGATGCCCTTGATTGATAAACCGTTTAAAAGAGTAGCCATTGACCTTGTCAGACCTATCAGTCCACCAAGTGAAGAAGGACACAGGTACATCCTGACACTTGTTGATTTTGCGACTCGCTATCCTGAAGCCGTTCCTTTGAAGACTATTGACACTGAAACTGTTGCAGAGGCGTTAGTAAATATCTTCAGCCGATTGGGAGTCCCTGAAGAGATTTTAAGTGACATTGGTACACAGTTCGTCTCTGATTGTATGAAGGAAGTAACACGATTGCTGAGTATCAAGCAGATCACAACCACTCCCTACCACCCTATGTGTAATGGTTTAACTGAGAAGTTTAACGGAACAATGAAGCTTATGTTAAAGAGATCGTGTAGTGAACAGAAGACAGTGGCATCGCTTTATCAACCCTTTGTTGTTTGCTTATCGTGAGGTTCCCCAAGAGTCTACTGGTTTTTCCCCATTTGAGCTGTTGTATGGAAGAGCTGGTAGAGGCCCGATGACCATCCTTAAGGAGCGTTGGACGAAAGAAGTAGAGGAACCGGAAGTTAAAACAGCTACCAGTATGTTTTTGAGCTGCGTGAGAAGTTGGAAGAAACCCTTAAATTAGCCCACAGTCAGTTACAGAAGGCTCAGGATAAAGAAAAGCACTATTATGATCGCAAGACTAGAGTCAGAAAATTTCAGCCAGGTGAGAAAGTTCTTGTGCTACTACCAACTGATCACAATAAGTTGCTGATGCAGTGGAAGGGTCCTTTTGAAGTGAGTTCAGTAGTAGGCCTTAACGACTGCAGAGTTAAAGTAAAAGGGAAGGAGAAAGTTTATCACGCCAATCTCCTCAAGAAGTATTTTGAAAGAGATGAAGCTACCACAGAAGGAGCAGTAGCGGTGGTAAAAGCAGATGATCATTTTAAAGAAGATGTACACTGTGAAATTGAAGAATGTGGAGTAAAGGATGCGGAGGATGATGATAATGTTGATTTCCTAGAGATCTGTGGCTATGATGCTAAGGAATCTGTTGCAGATGTTACCACCGGGTCAAATCTCACTGACGAACAGTGTTCTGAGTTTATGGACCTAGCCAATCACTTTTCAAGTCTATTTACCGAGGCACCAGGTACTACAGACCTCGCCCAGCATCACATCAAACTTACCTCAGATGAGCCTGTTCGGTCAAGACCATATCCAGTTCCTTACAGCATGAGGGAGTCCTTGAAGAAAGATATCGCCGATATGATTAAAATGGGAGTCATTAGGGAGTCTGATTCACCCTATGCATCGCCTGTTGTTGTAGTGAAGAAGAAAGACAATACCAATTGAGTCTGCGTTGACTACCGGAAGCTAAATAAGCTGACTGTTATTGACCCTGAACCCATGCCGACCGCGGAACACCTGTTCCAGAAGCTGAGTGGTGATAAGTTTTTCACAAAGATTGATCTTAGCAAGGGCTACTGGCAGATTACCATACCTGAGGAGGATATTCCGAAGACTGCGTTTGTAACACCCGACGGTTCCTACGAGTTCTTAAAGATGCCATTTGGAATGATTAACTCTGCAGCAACCCTGAAGCGAGCTATGAAGAAATTAATTGAGGATTTAGACGACGTCGATTTTTACTGGGACGATATATTGGTTCATACACGCACCTGGGAAGAGCATATTAAAGCCCTCCGAGAGTTGTTTGCACATTTATTGAGAGCTGGGATGACTATTAGACCAACTAAGTGTATTTTTTGGAGCGAGTTGCGTTGATTTCTTGGGTCACCGCCTAGAACAAGGAGTACTTGGTCTACACGAGGAGAATGTCGAGAAGAGTAAGAATGCGCCAAGGCCAGATACTAAGAAGCAAGTTTGTGCATTTGTTGGTTTGGCCGGATATTACAGAGACTTTATCCCTAACTTTGCAGCTATTGCAGCTCCCCTATTGGCCCTGACACGCAAGGGTCAACCAACTAGAGTTGAGTGGGGTCAAGCACAAGAGAAGGCATATCAGACCATCAAATTTCATTTGACGAATGAGCCAATTCTTCGTCTTCCAGACCCAGTGAAAATGTACTACTTGCAAACGGATGCGTCAAATACTGGAATTGGTGCCGTATTAATGCAGAAGCATGATGAGAAGCTGTTCCCCGTTTGCTACGCAAGCAAGAAATTGTCAAGTGCAGAAAGGAACTATTCTACGATTGAGAAAGAGTGCCTAGCAGTAGTCTGGGGTATCAAGAGATTTCATCTTTATTTGTACGGAGTTCCCTTTGTTCTGCAGACGGATCATGAACTCCTAAAGTATATGAACAGTGCTAAGTTTGCGAACGGACGTCTTATGCGTTGGGCTATGTTTCTGCAAAGTTATACATTCAGAGTTGAAGCCATTAAAGGCTCAGAGAACGTTGGAGCAGATTACTTGAGTAGAGCTGAAGAATAAGTTTATTGACATTGAACTGCACCTGATTTATCAATTTTCCTTATTTAGGAGAAATTTGGGAAATTTCTTCTGAAAGGGGGTTATGTTACGAAAAATTGTATTGCGTGACTAGCGTGACTTTCTAGAAGCTTCGCGAGAGTTCATAATTTGTTTATTAATTTTTAGGATCTTGTGTAAGCGTTTCTAAAGCGGTATATTTTGTAATCTCTCTATAATTAGACTATTTGGAATGTTCTAGAATTTTATTGTAAAAGTATATAAGTAGGCGAGTCCGAGTTAAGTTTTAACTAGTTTTCATAAGCGAAGAGAGTTTGACCTTAGTCGTGTTTAGTCAAGTGTGACGAAAGTAGTGTTTATTCAAGTTGGCGGAGGCCGTGTAAGTAACAAGTTAATTCAAGTTGGCAGAGGCCGTGTAAGTTTATCGAGTCACGTGCTGTTGTGGTGTTTTACTTTGTGGAAACTACGTTCATTTTTGGAATAAATCTTCTTGTTGCTGTTCCGACAACCCTGCGTTCAGTTTGGTTTGCAAGCTACCCGTCCTCTAAAAGATTACCCGCGTAACAGTAACTTTTTGGGGAAATGTCCACTGCCAATTTCGCTGTTTACAAATATACTACTGTTTGAAAATAAAATTTGTCCCTTTCCTAAAGGGTTAGCCAGGCACCAAAATTCCATGCAAACTGCTTACAAGAAAGAAGGGCAAAGGAAAAAAGAGAGCGAGCGACAGAGATCAAAATAGATTAGCCAAAAAGAAAAATTCAAAAGTCCAAATTTTGGCCTCTGCATGTGACTGTGGAAAACAAAAAAGCTGTACGTCAGATTAGTCGGAAAATGTGCCTCTCTTCTTGCAAACTCATTTTAGCCATTATTATGCTAATTAAGGCAAAAACTAGTCTAAAGGAGAGTAATTGGTGAAAATTGTGGTGTCACCATGGATAATAGAAAGACTGGATAGGAAACTGGCTGACGCGATCGGTTCCAACATAGTGGAAAAAATTATGTGACGTCACATTATCGAGAGCAATTCAACCTCAATCGACGTTTTGTGCGTCTTATGTTTCCTTGCATATTTCACTCTCTCTGTCTTCGACTATACATATCGGCCATGTTTTGAAGTAAAGGATGAAGAGGACTTGCTCTTGGAGAAGACAGTTAGAGGGTACAAAACCGGTAGGGGCAAAAGACAGAGGAAATGATTATGAAACCTGTGAGAGGGACGAATGACTCCAGCGCCCGAAAATTTTATGCACCAAACGGGAAGCCTATTAAACTACATAAAAAGTATGCGAAAACTTACATATATAGAGCTACAAAACACCTATGAAAAAGGCACAGCCTACTGATTTTCTTCAAACCACAAGAAAACCCTTTTTATCACGGTTTTCACGATTTCTTTTCTGCTTTTATCGACAAGCTCAGCGAGTGCCAAATTTTAGAAGTTAGGGAACACGTCCAAATATCGGTAGGCAACCCGATCATGGGAAACGGACCCGATTAATTTTCCGATTGATCG